GCCATAATTGAAATGAGAGGTTACTCGAAGAAGACGATTGAGGGCGTGATTTCGGCTCCGATAGTTGGGCCCCGATGCGTTTACACGTTCGGAGCCATGCCGGGACTCAACCCTATCGGAGTTCAACCCTGAGGGTTTAGTGGAGCCGAACTTGGCTCGAGCCGAACGCGTTCACACGGCCATTTTTGCTGGCTCGAACCGGCTCGAGCCTTTGGACTCCGATAAAATGCTGCCGTGTGAACGTAGCAATCGCTATGTTCACGTGGCAGCATTCTATCGGAACCATACTACTACTACTCCCACTGATTAACAGGAGATTAATTTCAATGCGTTTACATGGTCGGGCCGAACGAAAGCCGAGATCTGCCAAAGTTTAATTCAGTTTGATTCGAGCCGAACGAAATATTTAGTATGAAAACAACATGACTGAAAATGATTTTGCAGTTGTACTTGTTTTTTTTTCTTCTTTACATGGCATGGTTGAACTGGGAGAAAAAGGAAACAGTCGTGAGTCTGAGACAATGTACTGGTATTATGATTTAGATATTTTGAATAGAACAGGATACACATCAGCTAAGACATGCTAAATGTGTTATAGCCTATTTCTTACGTTATTGTCATGCGAAATTACCATCTTGTAATTGTTCAACTGATTTGTGTAACAGTTGTCAACCTACACCTAGTAGGAACATGTTGCCATACTGCGTAACTGCTTCTACAAATTTTATTTTAGGTGTCTTTGAAAATTTCCATTGGATCTGTCCTTTCAATTTTTGGCGCATAATTTCGTATGCCATTTTTCTGTTTCCCATTTAGCTATCTATCTATCGTAGTATTTCTTTACTCTGTCAAATAGATATCAGGGCGCCGACCTCATTGTCAAGCCAAAAATTACACGATGTTGTATCTGCCATAATTGAAATTACAGGTTATTTGAAGAAGAAGCGCGTAATTGCGGCCCAATGGTTGGACCCTGATGCCTATACACGGTCGGTTCCATGTCATGCAGGCTCAACACTATCAAGGGTTTAATTACACAGCCATTTTTGTTGGCTCAAGCCATAGGGCTCTGCTAAAATGCTGTTGTATAAACGTATACACTGTAACCTGGTTATAATAAACTCTCTGGGTGACAATTAGTTTGTTATAGTGAAGTGTTTACTATAATGAAGTTCATAATAGATTAGGTTTGTTACGAGAGGGAGACATACATGTACAATGTGTTCATTATACATGTATCAAGAAATTTAATATAAAATTGTTCATTATAATAAAGTTACAGTGTACATGTACTGGTATATGTACATGGATAAGAGACTGTTTTTTTGACTTCAAAATTGACACCTTATTTTACCTTTACTGTGGTCATGTGATTATTCATTGTATTGAAATGTGATAATGTTACATTAGTGAAATTACAGTGTAGTACGTGTACTACTTGAGTTTTACATCTGCCAGATTCCTTTTATAAATACAAGATTAACACACAATATTTCAAAGCATATTAGATTAACAGTGACTTGTTATTTTTTTTTTTACAGTCTATGCTTTTAAAATAGCTATGTCTGAGCTAACCCCACGTCCAATTGTCCTCAGTGGTCCATCTGGCACTGGTAAAAGTACACTTATAAAAAAACTCATGAACGAATTTAAAGAATATTTTGGCTTCACAATTAGTCGTAAGTACATTTAAAATATTTTTTTATTTATTTATAGTTAGTTGAGATATTAAAGTACAGTGAATTTCATGAAAGCATGAATGTTTTTCATATAAAATATTTGTAAATGTTTATAATGACAGTTAACTGATCACAACATGTTAACAGAAGCATGGCAGTACATAAGCCAATGATTGAAGCAAAACTAGCAAAGACTCATGGGTAATAGATGTTAACAAGTGGCTTCTATAATCAATGAAAGTATTCTTTGGATAATATAAATTCCCATTAAATTAAATTCACTGTAATGTTAACTTTGTACTTTCACATACATGTATGTAATCTTAAAATGGAGACTGACATGTACTGGTACTATTCTTCTTATTTGAATATGTCATTAACCATTTCTTGGTCATTCCATGGTGGATTACTAATGCTAATAGATGGTTTCAAGATTAATGTTAAGTGTGAAAGACACTACACACTACACTGTGTAGCCTGGAATGGACAGTGGTTTATTTCATATAAAATATGTGTAGTTTTAATATTCTCATCTTGTAATATTTACACAATGTGGAAATGTGGTGTTGTTCCAGCTACATTGTATGTCATAGTGTGAACTCAGAATGCTCATGTCTTGTTTGTAGACACAACACGGAAAGCTCGACCTGGAGAGAAGCATGGACAAGGTATGTACACTCACTTTAACAGTGCTAACTTACAGTTGGCTACTGTTTACTGTCATTGATGATACTTGTAAACAATGATTTAATGGGTTTGTTAACCAACAGTAATAATCTATTTAGGATGCAAGGCAGATGCAAGGGACTTTCAGCAAGTTTTCTATCTTAGTTTGTCTATATAGGTGGTCTTGGACCATCAATGTAAGCACCAATTCCTCAGAAAGCAGGTACACTATTCGCTCGATAATCCTGACATCCTACATGTACCAAGAGAATGTCAGTTTGACTTAGTTAACTTTTGCCCCATAACTACTAGATTATGACAGTCTCGGCCAAGAAATAATATTAGCATTAGTTGAGATCATTGCATTCAATTAATTGTGTTGTTATTCTTTTATTCAGATTATTATTTTACAAATCGTGAAGCAATGGAGGAAGCTGTATCTCGTAATGAGTTTATAGAAACTGCAGAATACTCTGGTAACTTATATGGTACAAGGTAATGTACATAATATTACTTTATAGGAAATTTACTTTATTTTACCTTTTCACCGCCACATTGTCTTGCTAAAATTTTTCTGCTCTATGTTACTTATATTCTTCAATATTTCTGAAAATGAACCCCAGTTTGGGAGCCAACAGACAAAAGTTTAGTCAATTTTCACGTTTTACTCAAAAAATTTGACTGTTTTTGTCCCAGTCGTCTGAAAAAAAAGTGCAGACTATAAACATGACTATTTTTTGAATTTGTGGTGAATATGTATGTCAGTACTATTATTATAAGTGTAAGGGACATCATGTACCCAAACATATATTTTGATAATCTTATAACCAAACTTGCAGCAAGTTCTTCTTGTACACCTTTATATTCGCAAAGCATAATAAATATTTGAAGAGTCCCTGAAGATAAAAATAGTTTAACTTTTAATGCTTTATTTTTAGTAAAAAAGCTGTGGAAGACGTGTTAAGCAAACAGAAGATATGTATTTTAGATATTGACATGCAAGGAGTAAAGAATGTCAAACAAACAAACTTGAAACCACGTTACATATTTATTAAGCCACCAAGCATGGAAGCATTGGTACGTTGACCTTCGTCTTTATTGCTCTTTTTCTTCCCTGCACTTGACTTCAGTTCTACTACCTATATTTTGTAAATTTACAAACTAACTCACTAATTGTTTACATGTATGTACTATTGAAAGCCTATTATGGCATATGATTACTGGTTCATGAATTCATATTATGCATTTGTTTCATAGGAAGAAAGATTAAGAGGTCGTGAAACGGAAACAGATGAATCTATACAGAAAAGATTATGTAGTGCAAAAGCGGAGTTAGAATATGGTGAGTAATGTAATCTATTTTTAGAATATGACGAGTACTGTAATCTGTTCAACTTTGCACTGCTAGGAATTGTCACGATTAAAGCATATGCCTTGTTGACACTGAGATAATGCAATAAAACAGAATGGAAAACCAAACCTTTTGACGTACAAGTACATCTAGATATGTCTGAGCAAACTTGACTTGACTAGTGGATGCTATCCTGACATCTGTAAATCACTTTAGTTGGACGAAAACAAGTTTTCATGAGGCAGTGAAAATCACAAAAGGTCCTTATCTCCACAAATTCCATAAAATCTTCATCTCACCTGCAGACTAAATTCAGATGCCCCAGAGATGCATCCTTTAGTGAAATGGATCTTGAATTTCATCTGCCATTTAAATATGTAGTGCACTCTACAGTAATGCCCAATCTCCCAGGCAGAGTTCTATTTCTACAAATATATCTCTGCCACCACGTCATTGATTGGTTGATGCGTCACCATGGCATGTACTACTACCAAAACATTGCCATGCTGGTGTTCGATTTTCGAACCTGGCAAAAGAGTACGTAATTTTTGTAGATTCTGCCTGTTTTCAAAGTGAAAAACTCATTTTTTACTTTCCGTAACACAAAAGGTGTGGCAGTAGAACGATTAATTTATCAATACTATGAAGTGCATTCGTTTGTTTATATTCTTTCTCCCGGCAATTGACAGGACAATTAGTTTGATGAACCGAATAACTTCTTAATAACGGTTATTCCACGTTGGAATTATTTTGTTTCTGAATAATAACTATTTCACCATTTTCAGTGCGTTTCACACAAAAATCATTATCAGGTATGGACAAAATATTTTAAAACTTGTTTATCATTAGGAATAAATCAACATGAGAGTCCTCTAATAAAAAATATGCAAATAGTATTTAATAGTAAATACGCTTCACCACAAAATGGCGGTGTGTGGTGGCAGAGAAACTTTCGGTGTTCTGGCCGCAAGCATCTCTAAAGGAGAATGCCCTATGCCACCTAGAACCTTCATTGCTTTTTGTTGCTTGGCAACTAGTATATTCCATTTATAACATGAAATTGATCTGATTTTACTAAATCTGTTTTGTTGCAGCTTTAACAGGAGCATATGATGTGATGATCATTAATGATGATTTAGAAATTGCTTATGAAGAATTGAAAGGATTTTTAAGTCAAGATATTTCTAATTTACAGAAACAAAAATTTAAAAAACATTGATATTAACAAACTCAGGGAAAACTGTTCATATAAATATCCATTCTTTTTAAGGGTGTTCAATTTCACTTCTATGATATGTGTATTCTCTGCATTGGGTTGTAATGTTGATCTTTGGAATGTCAGTTTTGTATCTCAGTAATCATTTATTATTTGGGGTTTATTTCAAATTATAGCAAATATTTTCAGGAAATGTTCAAATATGCTTGATATATGTGATTCTTCCAGTTTCACAAAATCTTTGTAGTGGAAACCAGAAGCATTCCACATAAAACATTTTATAATCTTGATGCTACTGTATAGTAAAAACTATTAAAATGTGGATGTTAGTTTTATTTTTCAGAAAATATTGTTTTTATCAAAAATTTCCCCTCTCCCCATTATTTCAAAAGATGACAATATTTTTTTTTGAAAGGATCATGCATTACTTTTTTGCTCATAATGTACTAAGTATTAACTGTAATGGATCATGTAATTTTAACAAAAAAGAGCATTTGTGTAAATAATTGAATGTTTCTGTGAAACAGTGTTGACCATCTAACACTTACAGTTCTGAAATTACCTACAATCTTATGTGGTTTATACTATCAGATATTGGTTGACATTTTATTGTTCAATATCCATATAGGTGATTAGATTCATGTTTTGTTAGTTTAGTGGTGATTTCCATCAACTCCTCACTAATCTTTACATCCATGCTAAAAAAATTCTTAGATAACTGAGAAAACATCTTGGTTTTGTTCTTCATGAAAAGGATATTGGTGATGACAGTTGTCGTGTGATTGACAGCTTTTCTCTAAATTTAACAGATCAAATTTTACAAAATAAATATAACAGACTTTTAATAGGGTATTATGCTGGAAACAAGCTTTACAGGAACCAATAGTACAAATTATAGAGGATTGTGGGTAATTTATATTTCTGTGAGTTCTAGTTAATGGTTATTGGGTGAATGATTATTTTTTTTTTAGACTACATGTTTGTTTTTGTATCTTGGATAAAGTTTTATTTATACCGTTTTACTGCCATAGTTTGTTTCAGTCACAAAATGTGTACAACCAAAAAGACACGG